CTGTTCGCCGGCCGCAACTTCCGTGACGAGGATGCCATTCTGAAGCTCCGTGAGGAGAACAAGGAGGACATCTCCAGCGTCGTTCAGACTGTTCTGTCACACAGCCGCATTGGCACCAAGAACAATCTGGTTCTCGCTATTTTGGCCATGTACCGTCCCAACCAGCCCGGCGTTGGCAACGTTGCCAAGTACTTCAAGCCCATCCTCAAGAAGCTCACTGAGCTTGAGTCCCGCTCCGCTGCCAAGGTCACTCTCAAGGCTCGTGAGCTTCTCATTCAGTGCGCCCTTCCCTCTTTGGAGGAACGTCTGTCTCAGATGGAACTCATTCTTCGCTCCTCTGTCGTTGAGTCTCGTTACGGCGAGACTGGCTGGGACCACCGTGAGCCCGACTTCTCTGTCCTGAAGGAGGTGGTCGACTCTAAGTACACCGTCTTCGACGTGCTGCCCCGCTTCTTCGTGCACCAGGACGCTTGGGTCACTCTCGCCGCCCTTGAGGTGTACGTGCGCCGTGCTTACCGTGCCTACACCCTGAAGGGCATTCAGTACAACCAGGCTGGTGAGCCTCCTCTTCTCTCTTGGGACTTCACCCTCGGCAAGCTTGGTCAGCCTGAGTTCGGCTCTCTTTCCACCACCGACCCCTCCACTCCCAGCACCCCTACTGCTGAGTTGAACCCCTTCAAGCGTATCAACTCCATCAGCGATATGTCTTACCTCGTTGGCGATGGCAACGAGCCCATGAGAAAGGGTGTCATCTTCCCGGTTCAGTACTTGGAGGACGCTGCCGAGTATCTTCCTCGTGCCTTGGAGGTCTTCCCCCGGGCTGGTTCCAAGGCCAAGAGACCTAGTGACAATGGTTTGCTCGCCAACCTGGAGGGCAAGCGCCGTCCTGCTCCCCGCGTTGAGACTGATGGCGAGTTGAACAACGTTCTCAACATCGCTATCCGTGATGTCGAGGATTTGGACGACAACCAGATCGTCACTCAGGCCAACGAGTTGCTTGCGGACCTGAAGGAGGAGTTGCTTGCTCGCCGTATCCGTCGTGTCACTTTCATCTGTGGGAAGAACGGTATCTACCCTGGCTACTTCACTTTCCGTGGTCCCGCCTACGAGGAGGACGAGAGTATCCGCCACAACGAGCCTGCCCTTGCCTTCCAACTTGAACTCGGACGTCTGTCCAAGTTCAAGATCAAGCCTGTCTTCACCGAGAACCGTAACATCCACATTTACGAGGCTTACGGCAAGGGTCCCGAGAATGACAAGGCTGTTGACAAGCGCTACTTCGTTCGTGCTGTTGTGCGTCCTGGTCGCCTTCGTGATGACATCCCTACTGCGGAATACCTGATTTCCGAGGCTGACCGCCTGATGAACGACATCTTGGATGCCCTGGAGATTATTGGCAACAACAACTCCGATCTGAACCACATCTTCATTAACTTCTCGCCCGTCTTCAACCTCCAGCCTAAGGATGTTGAGCAGGCTTTGAACGGCTTCTTGGAGCGTTTCGGTCGCCGCCTCTGGAGATTGCGTGTCACTGGTGCTGAGATCCGCATCCTCTGCACCGATCCCGCTACCGGTGTTCCCTTCCCCCTGCGCGTGATCATCACCAACACCTTCGGTTTCATCATCCAGGTTGAGCTCTACATCGAGAAGAAGTCTGAGAAGGGTGAATGGATCTTCCACAGCATTGACGGTGGCAGCAACAAGCTTGGATCCATGCACTTGCGCCCCGTGTCCACTCCTTACCCTACCAAGGAATGGCTTCAGCCCAAGCGCTACAAGGCTCACCTCATGGGTACTCAGTACGTCTATGACTTCCCTGAGCTCTTCCGACAGGCCTTCCAGAACAGCTGGACCAAGGCCGTCGAGCAGATCCCCTCCCTGGCTGAGCAGCGCCCTCCTGTCGGTGAATGCATTGACTACAGCGAACTTGTCTTGGATGACACCGACAACCTGGTCGAGATCTCTCGTGGTCCTGGTACCAACACCCACGGTATGGTTGGTTGGATCGTCACTGCTCGCACTCCTGAGTACCCTCGTGGCAGACGCTTCATCATTGTTGCCAACGACATCACCTTCCAGATCGGTTCGTTCGGTCCCCAGGAAGACAAGTTCTTCCACAAGTGTACCGAGCTGGCCCGCAAGCTTGGCATTCCTCGCATCTACCTTTCTGCCAACTCTGGTGCTCGTATCGGTATGGCTGATGAGCTCATCCCTTACTTCTCCGTTGCTTGGAATGACGCAAGCAAGCCTGAGGCTGGCTTCAAGTACCTCTACTTTACCCCCGAAGTCAAGGGCAAGCTGGATGCCAGTGGCAAGAAGGAGGTCATTACCGAGCTCATTACCGACGAGGGTGAAGAACGCCACAAGATCACCACCATCATCGGTGCCAAGGATGGCCTGGGTGTTGAGTGTCTGAAGGGTTCTGGTCTTATTGCTGGTGCCACTTCCAAGGCTTACGAGGATATCTTCACCATCACCCTGGTTACCTGCCGTTCCGTCGGTATTGGAGCTTACCTTGTCCGCCTCGGACAGAGAGCTATTCAGGTCGAAGGCCAGCCCATCATCCTTACTGGTGCCCCCGCTATCAACAAGCTGCTGGGCAGAGAGGTTTACACCTCCAACTTGCAGCTGGGTGGAACCCAGATCATGTACAAGAACGGTGTGTCTCACATGACCGCTACTGATGACTTTGAGGGTGTGCAGAAGATTGTGGAGTGGATGTCGTTTGTCCCTGACAGGAAGGGCGCTCCTATCCCCATCCGCCCCTGGTTCGATACTTGGGACCGTGACGTGGACTACTACCCTCCCAACAAGCAGCCTTATGATCCCCGCTGGCTCATTGCTGGTAAGCAGGACGACGAGGGCTTCCTCCCTGGTCTGTTCGACGCCGGCTCCTTCGAAGAAGCTCTCGGTGGATGGGCTCGCACCGTGGTTGTTGGTCGTGCTAGACTTGGTGGTATCCCCATGGGTGTCATCGCTGTTGAGACTCGCTCTGTTGAGAACGTCACTCCTGCCGATCCTGCCAACCCCGACTCCATGGAGATGATCAGCACCGAGGCTGGTGGTGTCTGGTACCCCAACTCGGCCTTCAAGACCGCCCAGGCTCTCCGTGACTTCAACAACGGTGAGCAGCTGCCCGTTATGATCCTGGCTAACTGGAGAGGTTTCTCTGGTGGTCAGCGTGACATGTACAACGAGGTTCTCAAGTACGGTTCCTACATTGTCGACGCCCTCGTCAAGTACGAGCAGCCCATCTTCATCTACATCCCGCCTTACGGTGAGCTTCGTGGTGGATCCTGGGTCGTCGTCGATCCCACCATCAACCCTGACCAGATGGAGATGTACGCCGACGAAGAAGCCCGTGGTGGTGTTCTCGAGCCCGAGGGTATCGTCAACATCAAGTACCGCCGTGACAAGCAGCTGGACACCATGGCTCGTCTGGATCCTACTTATGGCGAGCTCCGCCGTTCTCTCGAGGACACTTCTCTCAGCAAGGAGCAGCTTTCGGACATCAAGGCCAAGATGGCTGTTCGCGAGGAGCAACTTCTGCCTGTCTACCTGCAGATTGCCCTCCAATTCGCCGATCTTCACGACCGCGCCGGGCGTATGCAGGCCAAGAACACCATCCGCCAGGCGCTCACCTGGAAGAACGCTCGTCGCTTCTTCTACTGGCGTCTCCGCCGCCGTTTGAGCGAGGAGCTGATCGTCAAGCGCATGGTCACTGCTGCTCCTTCTCCCGCTGCTCGCGACGGCACTGTTGCCATCCCCGCTGCTGCCGACGCCAGCGCTCCTGCTCAGACCGAGTCCGCCCGTGCGGTGCACCTCCGCACTCTGCACGGATGGACCGGCCTCCTTGACGACGAGCTGGAGCACGACGACCGTCGCGTGGCCATGTGGTACGAGGAGAACAAGAAGGCGATCCAGACCAAGGTCGACTCTCTCAAGACGGAGAACATTGCTACCGAGGTTGCGCAGTTGTTGATCAACAACAAGGAGGGAGGTCTCAGGGGTGTGCAGCAAGTTCTGAGCGTGCTTCCTGTTGAGGAGAAGGAGGCTGTCCTCAAGTTCTTGGCTGGCAACTAAAGGAAAGATGCAGCGAAGTTCTGTACCCCTTTCCATGCGGTTAGACAGCATTTTTTAGTTTTGTTCTTATCATGAACTATTTGGTAAAAAGGCCGGGCCATTCTTATCCAAGGAGGGGTTTGTGATCTTTGTTCTTTTTTTATGTTAGGGTCAAGAGGGTGCATGGTGTGGCTTTGGTTTGTTTCATCGATGATGGGTGATGGTGCATATACCACCCGGTTATGTGTTTATGTCTCAGTTTTGGTCTCAGTTCAGCATCTGGCTTTTTGTATCTTACCTTTAGCATAGTTTTCTACAAATGCATGTTCTGAACAACTTGTTTTCTTTCTGTGTAAGTTTTGGAAGTGTAGTGCTGCTAATAAACCATGTGCTGCTGCGCTACCATTTTACTTTACATTGGTCTAGCGCCGTCACAGGTTTGTCTCCCCACATGACAAAAATGTTCTTTCCTTGTACAAATTCATGATTCCTTGATAGTAGAATGGGTGGACGCAAGCTAGATACTTCCTACTCTTATATCAGTTCAGTATACACTTGAGGATGCTCACAGTCCCAGCAGGCAGGCAGGCAGGCAGGCAGGCAGAAGCAGACTGACAGACCCCTGTTGCCGAAATCCACTTGTGACAAAAATCCAGGCAACCCAGGTGCGGCGTGGTACTTACTACTTACACCATACGATACCAATCAACATTCCCTTCCCCCTTCCCTCTTGAACAGTCTAGTCTATCTGTATTGTACAGTACTTCTTTATACTCATCGCCGCTCCCCCTCCTTCCCCCCTCTCCCTCCCTCCCCTCTGGATACTCTAGTCTGTGTGAACGGATGGATACCCTTGATCGGGAGGAGAAGAGGAAGGCCCCGTGCTATTGCTAGGTAGCTACCTACCTACCTAGCCAAGGTACCTAGCAATTGCTCTTAATCTTGACTGGCTACGGGCTACTGCTACTGCTACTGCCACTAATAGTCTTTCCGCTGGTATAGTACTACGCAACACCAGCAAGCGACCTGCTGCAGACAAAGATAAGATCCTACGTTGAAAGGGAAAGAAAGGGTTGGTTTTTGCTGGTTGATTGTGACTGACTGTGACTGTGGCTGTGGCTGTGGCTGTGACTGTGGCTGTGACTGTGTCTTTGTCTGTGCCTGTGACTGTGATTGGATGAAGGTCAGATGCAAAGGGACGGATGATGGGCACCGGAAGTATTGGAGATTGGAGAGCCAGACCATGTTTCCCCGTGATTTGGCGGGATTTCTTTTATGTGCGTGCGTGCTACCAGCGAGAGAGGGTTACGACCGGCCGCATTGTTTTAGGCATAAGATTTCGGCAAGTTTCTAAGATGGGTGTGATTAAATAGGATGGATTGGACACATAGATAGCTAGCTAGCTTGCAAGCAAAAGTAAGGGTTATAGCAGGTACACGATGGGGTATTATTGTTTTGAAAAGACACTCGTTTCGGGTCATCAGGGGAATGAATGTTGTTGGGGGTGTCATAGGGTGTTTGTGGGTAAGGGTAAGGGTTGGGGTATCTTGGAAAAAGACTGGGGGTGGAAAGGCCAGGGGGTGTGGTAGTGGTTGCAGAACTCCCCAGGGGTTAGGCAAGTTGTCTTTCTAGACTCCGGGGTGGAGAGAGGATAGGCGCGGCGCCCATCCCGCCATACGGATTGGCTGCCGCTGCTTCGCGCAGACCGCGGCTGGGGTTGACCGGGCCGCTGCCGCTACCTCTTCCGGGCGGATGGTGGCCTTGATGGCGATCGTCGAGACGCAGGTGCCCAAAGTCCACGGGGAGTTGGTCGGGAAGGGGAAGGGGGGCGTTGTATCGTGCATTGGGGGCCAACTGGTGGTGCTGTTGATGCTGATGATGGTGATAGTGATCGGGTGTGGGGATCGGCTGTTGCGGCAGGGCGTACGAGAGCGCTCCGTCGCGGTTATTGCCGGGGAGAGAGATGTACGTCGCGTTGAGGGTGCGCGCGATATCCTCGAGCAGGATCTCCATCGGCGCGATGTAGGCCGTGTGGCTCTTTTCGGACCAGGCGAGCACGTGTCCGCATACGCGCCCGGTGTGTTTTTCGAAGACCCATGCGCCGGAGTCGCCGGGGACTAGAAATAAGAGAAAAGTTAATGACTGAATCGGGGCGTAGATGGGCAGCCGACAAACTCACTTACCTCCGAAATTCCCATCCACGCAGAAGCTGATGGAAAAGGTCTGGCGCCCGTGCAGCTTCACCAGCGTCATTGCTTTGGAGATCTGGCCCGTTTGGAGGCCGCTGGTTCGTCCGCAGCAATGAACCTTGAGACCACCAAGGTCTTCCAGTCGAGCTATGTTGTTGAGGTGGATGGTTTCAGGCTGGCCGGGAGCGCCGTGTCTCTGCTGGTAGGGGTGTTGACGCGAGGTCCGGTCGAAAACCACGTTGCGGACATCGATGCGATCATCATTGATCTTGATCAACGCCCAGTCAATCTCGTGTCTGAGCCCCTTGCGCGTCCAGCGGCGAACGCCCGAAGAGGCATGGACGAATCCAAAAGAGTGAGAGGCCAGGTGTTCGTCGTCGCGATCTTCCAGAGACGGGAAGAAGTTCTCGTCGACATCATCAATCGCGGGTTGCGTGACAAACAGCAGGGGCTCGTCCCCGGGTTCCACGCCCGATGTGTCTCCGACTGATGCTGCGTCCTCGTCATCATACGGGTCGTCTGCGTTGGGGTCATCCTCATCAGTGGAGTAGCCTTCAGAAAGGTCGAAGTCGTCGTAATTCTCGTCTAGACTGTTCGTAACAGATTGATCATCGTCGTCCTCATCCTCGGAAACCTCAAGTTCGAGGTCTGAGGCAGCATCTGGTCGACTGTCTTCACGCCAAGAATACATGAACTGCGCAGTTTGCTGCGTCGTCCCTTCTCGAGGCCAGTTCCCTGCGGACCGAAGGGGACCACTGTCGTCGTGGTCGTCATCGTCCTCCTCTTGATCGCTGGGTGACTCGAGCATGTGATGCACCGTCATGCCATATGGCATACCATCGACCATGATGGCCCCACCGTAGGTGACGGGCGGCAAATGCTCCTCATTCATGAAAGCGCCTATCGATGCCCCGCAAAGGGGCCGCTCTTGATAACAAGGGTTCGGATCTTGCTGAGCATACGCGGGCGAGTTGGGAGTGTCAGGTCCGGTTCTCGTCGGCTTGCGACGCTTCTTGCGGGGTACCTTGGACCGCTGAACATCACCTCGGAGTACAATAAGATCCCAATCGTCGCTGTCGAGAACAAAGTACTTTTTGAGAGCCGCCCTGACTTTCTTGGTGCTAGCACAAGTAACACAGATTGTCGTCCGGGCATTGTCCACCGACTCGCCAGTCATCATGAGCGTGACACTGCAAGATTCGGTAGATTCTTTCAAGATCTTTTGCAGAAGCTTCCTCAGTCGTGGCATCATGTGGAAGTTCCAACTATTCAGATGATCCTGGGGAATCTCAACATTGGACAATTTCTTGAACGTACGTTTCCGCACCCTCCGATCATCTATGGTTGATTGTTCTCGCATAGGTCTGATTTCGGAAGTAGGAAGCGGTGCAAATGGAGTTTTGTATGCTGCCAGGTTTTCCGGGGTGGAGTGATACTCACGCATGGGCGCTTCTGCTGCAGCTGGGCCTAGACCAGGGACCAGAGCGAGTGGGAGGTAATCATCCAACTCCTCGGCGTCAGGCGCCGAGAACATGTCTACCCTGCAGCAGGACCACATGATCTTGCACATTGTGTAGAGGAAGTTCATGGAGAAGGAGAAAATGCTGTCAGGGGCCGACAGATCCAGGACGGGGTAATGAAAAGTCTGAGGCACTCGGAGCTCGAAGTCGTCGAACGGCTGGGTAGAGAGATGAAAGTTCGGCGCATCGAGACAAAGCTGGACCACATGAAGATATGCACTCCCGCATTTTGGTGCCAACTTTTGCAAGTAAACACTTTCTATCCGTTGTTTGAAGATGGAGTTGTTATACTTCATCTTCCAGATGCGACTGATCGGGTTCCACAGACCAATCTCCAGCAATACTAATCCGAGGGAGTAGAGATCGTATGCCCAGGCAGCATCGTCATCGACTGATCTCTTGTCGTCCGGATGGCGATACATGCTAGAGGACAACGGCTCCGAAGCCGGGCCATTTCGGGAGAAATGGGAAAACGAGGTCAGGTAAGGACGACGAAGATTCTCAGTCAATCCTACTTCGTTGCTATGCGAAGTTGTCAGGCCAGGGAAGATGAGCACGTTGCTGCTGTTAATGTTTCCGTGAACGAGATTCTGGCTCCGCAGCTGCAGGACCGCCATCAAAAGATCGTACGCCAAGCGAAATCGGGTTTCTAGATTGGGCACCTGATAATCATCGCCAGCTTGGAACATCGAAACCAGAGTCCTTGGCTTCAAGCCATTGAGGAGGTCGGTGGGGTTTTGCAGAAAGGGGAAGTAGTCGACTGGCATCTGGTAGATGAACGCGTAACGAGAATTGGGCATGTCGACATAATAGCCCAGAAACTTCATCAAGCCTAGGTGAGAGACGCGAGCATTTTGAACGAGTTGCTCAAGGCTCTGATGTACGTGGTCTAGCCGCTTCTTCTCCGGAGAAGTGCCTGGCCCAGATGCTTCGAGCATCATGGGTGTGTACTCAACCAGAATGGTCACCGAGGAGTCTCTCGTGCCTTGCAGAAATGGTGACGCTGACGTCGGCATACGTCCGACGGCTCTGGAGTTGGTGGTGGCAGCCACCTGCTCATACGGCGGGGGATTATTGTCATGAGAGGCGCCGGCAAGCTGCAACTTAGTACGATCGATGACATAATTGTTCAAGGAGCCAAAGGCGTTGTCAAGAGGCAGTTTGTCGAACTTCTTTCCTTGCAATGTAGACGACGGCGAATAGTCAAAAGATTCCTGTTGGGATGATAAGTACGCCTGCTTACTGTCGAAGGATGCTCCGTGATAGGCCGCTTTGGTGTCGAGAAGCGAGTAGTCGGTGGGCGCCGCGGGCCGAGATCGGCCTTTAGCGGCAGCCTGACCACCAGCCGCCATGTTGGCGTTCATGTCTCGTCGTGAGCGCGAAAGGTCGTAAAGAGTATCAATACAGCCGGTCAGGTCGGCGAGAAGAGTCTTGGAGCGACTGATTTCCTCGCTCGTCCAATGCGACTTGACTGGCAAGTTGCTGAGGCTGCTCTTCGTCGCATCGGTCTTACTCCCACCTTTGGGGGGTAGATCGGAGGCGACGTCGCCATGCTGGAGACGTTCGGCCTCATTGAGAAGCTCCTGGATCGAAGACATAACACTCGCTACCACATCACTGTAGCCCGCCTGGGTCAATGACTCGTCGATGTCGTTGGGCTGGGCGGCACTGGCATCGCTCCAGTCCAGACCCCAGGCTAGCAACCTATCTCTCTGCGTCTTGAAATCCCGATGCAAGTTAATCAATTCGGGGTCATCGACAGCATTGGAGGCCGTGGTCACACTTTCACAAGAGGTCTTGGTATCTGTGTACATCTTGGTAAGACGCCGTTGGAGGTAGACACCTCCATGATGGCGAAGAACGGACATCTTGGCGCGCAGAGTCCGGAATTAAGTTGAACGAAGGTAAGCGGAGACTATAGCCTCACAGCATTGCAGAGCGGGGAGGGCGGCAAATGCAACTATGTGCTGCTATTGGCGACGCATGGTCTGCAGCGGGTACAGTGTAATACGGCGGGGGGGTGAGATCGCGCGTAGGTTAACTAGGTGAAGTGGAAAGAGGGGGTCAATGAAGATTGAAAGGAGAAAGAAAGAGAGGAAGTTGAGTGAGTGAGTGAATGAGTGAGTGCAGTGTGGTAAATGAACTAGAGAGAGGAATTAAAGAATAGAGAGAATCGAGACGACTAACAGAAGGCGGCCAAGTGGGAATCCTGTTGCCTAACCAATAGGGAGTGGCGAGTGCTTTGCAAAGCCTCACAGTGCCAAGCCACAGTTACGGTTTTCGCCAGTTGCTTTGCTCTTTCGGCCTGAAGATCCCACCAAATCCACCAAATCGACCAAGTCTCCGCCGCTACCGAAGCCGACAGGCAGCCGCCATTCCCTGCCAGCCCGCGCAAACTCCACCAGAACGGGCTGAGAGGCACGTGCACCTCCACTTTAACCGGCTGACTCAGCCCCGATGGCGGACCATCCCGCCTTTACACTTTACGGAAGTACACTTACTTCTGCAGCCGGACTTGGGACGTCTTGAAAGATCTTGTTCATAAAATATCTATTCAGCAAACGCAATTGATGTACATGGAACAGAACGATAATGAGGCTCGAGAGAAGAGTGCGCAACACTCAAAAGGACGGGAGCCTAGATCACTGTTGCATGGCTGATGCCTGGTCAGGATCAACCGGTGATGACTCTCCGAGAAACACCCCCAACGTCTCGAGCCCGCTTGTCACGGAAGTTATGCAACCGCTCACCAATGAGGTAGACATCATCGCGGATGTTCACCCTCCAAATCTCCACTTGGCGACGGACCAAATAAACGAGCCATGCAATCAAACTCAACGTCAGGGTCACCGGATACGCATAGCGGTACACTTTGAACTGCACCTCCGGTGTATTATAGAAGATCGTCGAGTTCAGTGCGAATCCCATGGAAAGTGGTACCAATACAGCAATGACGGTGAGGAGAGTGACGGGAAGCAGAACACCTCGCGTGGCGATTTTGGCATTGGGTTTCATCCATCCATCCCTGAAAGTGGCAAGGAGAGCAGCAGTTTGGCGGGATCTAGAGTTCCACAGCACAAATTTGACGGCCATCTGGACATAGAGTACGCCGAGTGTCCAGTCTTGGATGAAATGAATCACATGCGCCTCTGGGCCTCCGAGATAAGTGTGCACGGGCACGAGAATGTAGAGCTCCATGATCAGAGCGAATGCAGATGGTAACACGACTGCGAATGCAATGAAGACGTATAGCAGTCGGATGACATCATGAAGCGCATTCTTGATCCCGAGGAAGACCTGCTGGGGAGATTGCAGATAGACACCCAACCGCTCTTTGGCCATAACAAAGAAGGTCCGACTGTAGAAGCCGATGTAGGCAGCAGTGCCGACAATGCTCAAGCCAGTTGAGAAAGCGTAGATATCATTCATTGGCCGGTGGGGGAAGCTCGAATTCATGATTTTCCGGCCAATTATCAGGGGAAGAACAGTGATGCCTACACCGGTAGCTGCAGCAAACACCCAGATGAGTAGGATGAAGGCCGCAATCCGGGTTCTAAAATTTGGAGGCACGTAGACTTTCGTGAACATCTCATTAGCCCGGCCGTGCAATCCCTGATCCGTGTCCGGTACCCCATCCAGTCTCTCGTTGTTCTCGGTCACCTCCACAAACACCTTATTGCCCTTGGGAATGCGGACCTGATCCGAAGCAGGAGCCCGTACAAATCTGCCATCACGGACAATTGATGCGCTGTCAAATATTTCATCGGTGTCTGCAGCCTGAGTTCCGCTGGCTGTAGAGTTTTCCGCATTTGGTTCCGCCGCCGAGAACAGTGCCCACCAGCTCCGTCCGACATGGCGACCTTCTTCATCTGGCTGTCTATCTCCAAAAAAGAAGTTGGTCAAGCGTAAGAAGCGAGCACACTTATGAAACCACCAATCGTAAAGGCCGTGTAACCCGTCAGATGGCTTGAGAGATCGAATAGCGAATGGCATCACGAAGTTGTAGAATAGCAGATCGACGGGGAACTCCAATACAGGGACTGTGGCAGACCAGTGGATCGGGAGAACGCCATCTAGGCCATAATACAAACCCCAGACAACCCCTCCGAGGCAGATAACAACCAGCGCGCCATACACTAGGGCACTGAATGCGATCTTGCGCAATTGAGTCGTAATATTCCTTTCCAGGACATCGCGCACGGGGTGGAATGTTGGGTCATCTGGATCGCGGATAAAGTCTTGCATAATGGTCAGTAAATGCCAGAAGACGAAAAGTAGGAGTAGACTTACAAAGAACGCCACTCCTCATGATCTTTCTGCACATCGAAACGAAAAGAGCAAAGTGGAACATATAGCAAGTGCCAATGAACCAATGCACAAAAAGCGATGTCAGAGGAGAGAAAGCAGTGAACTCAAGGCGTGATGCGATGGTAGCATTCTCGAACAATGGCAACAGTGCAACATCGAGTAGAGAGCCGCAATACAACGGGAAAACTATCATCTCGATCCCAATAATGAGAATCACTTTCATGACCCCGCCACCCTGATGTATCACATCCGCGATGAGGCCCTCAACCCTTTGGCGACGCTCTGCGCCGGAGAGAAGATTCGTGACACGGAGGTAGAGTAGTCCAACAACCGATGCTAGTACGTAGCCCAGTAGAATGGCGATGACCCGGTCCTTGGTATCCCAAACAGCTAATTCTTGGGAGATATTGATGCCATTGGGCGAGGTTCCGTTTAGGCCAGCCATGAAGACATTTGTTCCATTTGAAGTATAAAGAATCTGGTTCCCCAGGCTGTAGATCTGATCGCGTGCTTGGATCATCAGACCAGTGAAGTCGATGGTCTCGCGACCAAAAGACAAGGCGCCGGGAAGCCCGTCATTCAACAGTCGGAGGGGGAAGTCGTGCGCAATGAATTTGCCGACGGAGAAGACCGTTCCAATAAAATAGGAGATGCGCGCCTGGTGGATCTTGAGAGCGTGGTGCGAGAGTACGGAGAACATAGGAACGTCGGATTCGTGAAACACGAAAAACGATTGGAGGGCGTTCCGTAGACGGGAACTGCTAGCATCAATGAGCGATAACGAGGCGCTGGTTACGGACTTGGTTTCGGGGATCCAATCGGCCACTGGAGCAAATGCAATGAAGGGCCCAAGCAATGTCTTGCAGATCAGGCTGCCCCAATACATTAGGTAGCCCAAACTACCGATGAGGGTATCAAGCGCGACATCAGCGAAGACGGATATAGCAGTCATAGGAACACCGACAATCAGGTGCACTGGGTTCGCCAGGAGGACAAGGGCGATTTTCCCCCAGAGATAGGGGAGCCAGATACCAATTGCAACCGTGAACGAGATCAGAAGGGCGCTGAATACACCGTTCTGAAGAAGACCGAAGATTGGGCCCTGCATACCAATAAGCTCGAGGATTCCCTCTAGATCATCGCCATCTTCCACCGCATCGAGGTCGTTGCCATCGACGCCCAGATCCTGCATGAGTCCTTGATTATCTTGTGCACCACCCTCAGCAAGACGTCTGTCGTTCTGGATCGGAACAAATGGTGCCTCCAACTCAGGGTCAACTACTACTTGTTCGTCATCGTCATGAGCCTGGTCCTGGTCCTGGTCCTGGTCGTCAGTCCCAACATCTGCCCAAAACCAATCAAGCAGGCAAGCAACGAAGCTCTTGTGGTGATTTTCGATGGGCCGAGCGGCTTCAGTAGTACTTGGGTGGTTTCCTGATTGTTCGTGATCATTGGCGGGATCAGCTTGGTTAGGAATTGCGGCACTAGTTTGATCACCCAGCCGAGGTGCATCATTGCTTGAGAGTGTAGGCTCCTGGGGGGGCTCACGCTCGGAACTGGATCGGAAGCCATCGAAGTCCGGGTGCCGTTCTAGTCTGTCGATATCTGCATTGCCTTGAACCGCCTCTGCGAAGCTCCAAGGCCTAGTATTTGTTGATAGTAAGGCGCGATCATCATCCACTTGTTCCGAGGCTGAAGCACCCTCAGGTTGAGTCATACTAGCATCGAAGTGAGTGCTGGAAGAGGCTTCAAGCGGCGGGTCCCGTCTCCATTGGTCTTGGCGATCTTCATTGCGCTGGATCTTGCTCACGGCGTTGACAATCCAATCCAGGTCATTCTGGCGACCTTCATCGCGTACAATTCTCAAGACCTGTTCGGGATCGCCATGGCCCCGGTCCCAAAGGTCTCTGAAGGTATCCACGCCAGGCCAGGTTTGAGCGTATGGCTGCTCGGATGGGAAGTCCAGTTCCGCTTCACCGTCACTTTCACCGGTGTTTTGAAACGATCGCGAGGGCTCAAAGCCTTGTGACTCAGAAGATTCGAAGCCACTGCGACTCTCGAGGTCGAGCGGCGATGACCTAAGGAACTGATCCAAGTCAACCGCGGGGCTTGCCGGCATGTTGAAGGCACGATGGAAGTCATCTTCTGCAGGTTCGTGATCTTCGGCGTCCAATTCAGCATCCTGTGGTGGTAAAGCAGCATCTTCCGCCGGCTCCGCATTCTCTGCCGGCTGGTTCTGAAGGTTATTCGCTATGAGTTGAACAGCTGCTTCGCGCTCTCCCTCAGCAATGTTCGCCATGGGCTGTTGCTGTACGACCCATTCCCGGATGAGAAAGATCAGGATGAATGAGACAACGACGAGCAGGGTGATAAGCTGACCCTCCAATGTATCGATGATGATGTTGTTGATAGTGGGAGACGGTGTCAGGGTATTCAGGAATTTGACATCGGATAACCATGAGGGACGTCTTGGATTGTATGTTGCGGCAGTGATATTGGAATTGGCCCCAATGGGCCCAGTGACCGACATTGCAGGGGAGAACAGTACTGAGAAAGCTTT